GCCGAGGGGGAGGGGGGATGGAAATAGAAATAGAAATAGGATAGAAATGAAGGGAAATGAGAACGAGGGAGGAGAGTGTAATGGAAAGAGTGAGTTTATAAAGGTGTGTATTCAGGCGCAGCATCAGGTGCGTTGAAGAGATAAGGGAAGATTTGAAGAGAGAGAGAGAGAGAGAGAGAGAGAGAGAGAGAGAGAGAGAGAGAGAGAGAGAGAGAGAGAGAGAGAGAGAGGAGAGAGAAGAGAGAGAGAGAGAGAGAGAAAGAGCGAGAGAGAGAGGAGGAGATAGAGAAATAGAGAGAGAGAGAGAGAGAGACTAATTAATATCTATAAGCATAATAACCTGACAAACCCCCCAAAAAACTAGCAAGGATTACAAAAGAAGCAGGAAAAAGCTAGGAGAGTGATTAAGAAGAAAAAAAAATGGAAAAAGAGAAAATCAGAGAGAGCTCTGGACACAAACGGAAATCATATAGATTAAAGATGGGATTAAAACCCGGGAACATATGTATTTTTTTTCCCATGAAATGATTTTACACAGGTTGTCGCTGCCTTTGTAAATTGAAAACATCTGATTAAACATCGTACCTCATTTTAATTAATTTCCATTTGCGATCGTGACATAAATCCAAATAAAATCACGCTGCAGTATCATTGATTTACGTTTTCTGGCACCCCGAGGTTACACAAGAGTAAAAAAAAAAAGTACACTTAAACATATGTACACAAATGTATTCACGCTACATACATGGACGTAAATATATGCGTTGACTCACATGAACAGATTTAAGTTAGTGCTACAACGTACTTATTCACATTCTTAGACTTTACCGGACACAATATGTACATGCATACACTCACGGAGATACACAGTTCATTTACAAACGCGATTATATTGAATACATACACAAGTGTGCGTATAAACACACACACACACACACACACACACACACACACACACACACACACACACACACACACACACACACACACACACACACACACACACATATATATAAACTCTTCCCTCCCACACACACACACGCACATACACACACATACACACATACGCGCGCGCATACACACTTACCGTTATCAAACACGGCAGTAATCAACAAGCCAGACACGGGACAATAGCTTAACATCCCAGTATGTTGGATGTCTGATATTCAGCACAACGGCGGTATAACCATCGACGACGAGCAAATACCACAAGAGGAATGCAATGGCTTCTATCTCGAAGTCTACAAACTCCCAGCATCCGGTCTCCGAAATCTCTCCTCCTCTGATCCTAATCTCTTCGTGAAGCATCTCTCTTTATGATATTGACACTAACGTACGGTATCATGTTGATCAACATCCTTGCAGGACCATAGTGTGGAGTCTTTTATATCAAAGTTACTGTAGGATTAGCCTTTTCATCATGAGCACACACGTAAACCCACACACACATGAAGAAACGTGGTCTGGCGCGCTAATACTTGTGCCACGGCGGTGACTTCCCCTACGACACCTGCGGTTGACTTCTCAAGGCGATATGTCGTTTTCTCGGGCTCGAGCCAGCAGTCGGAGCGCAGGCATTTTTACGACCGCCGCGACGGGAATTGAACTCGGGACCACGAGGGCCTCAGTCCAGTGCTCTTACCATTAGTATATATACCAGTAGGTATATATATATATATATATATATATATATATATATATACATATATATATATATATATATATATGGGTGTATATATATGTGTGTGTGTGTGTGCGTATGTGTGTGTGTGTGTGTGTGTGTGTGTGTGTGTGTGTGTGTGTGTGTGTGTGTGTGCATATGTGGTTAGAGCACTGGACTCCGACCCTTCGTGGTCGTATAAATGCCTGCTCTCTGACTGCTGGCTCGAGCCCCAGAAAACGACACATCGCCTTGAGAAGTCAAACGCAGGTGTCGTAGGGGAAGTCGCCGCCATGACACACACACACCACACACACACACACACACACACACACACACACACACACACACACACACACACACACACACACACACACACACACACACACACACACACACACACACACACACACACACACACACACACACACACACACACACACACACACACACACACACACACACACACACACACACACACACACACACACACACACACACACACACACACACACACACACACACACACACACACACACACACACACACACACACACACACACACACACACACACACACACACACACACACACACACACACACACACACACACACACACACACACACACACACACACACACACACACACACACACACACACACACACACACACACACACACACACACACACACACACACACACACACACACACACACACACACACACACACACACACACACACACACACACACACACACACACACACACACACACACACACACACACACACACACACACACACACACACACACACACACACACACACACACACACACACACACACACACACACACACACACACACACACACACACACACACACACACACACACACACACACACACACACACACACACACACACACACACACACACACACACACACACACACACACACACACACACACACACACACACACACACACACACACACACACACACACACACACACACACACACACACACACACACACACACACACACACACACACACACACACACACACACACACACACACACACACACACACACACACACACACACACACACACACACACACACACACACACACACACACACACACACACACACACACACACACACACACACACACACACACACACACACACACACACACACACACACACACACACACACACACACACACACACACACACACACACACACACACACACACACACACACACACACACACACACACACACACACACACACACACACACACACACACACACACACACACACACACACACACACACACACACACACACACACACACACACACACACACACACACACACACACACACACACACACACACACACACACACACACACACACACACACACACACACACACACACACACACACACACACACACACACACACACACACACACACACACACACACACACACACACACACACACACACACACACACACACACACACACACACACACACACACACACACACACACACACACACACACACACACACACACACACACACACACACACACACACACACACACACACACACACACACACACACACACACACACACACACACACACACACACACACACACACACACACACACACACACACACACACACACACACACACACACACACACACACACACACACACACACACACACACACACACACACACACACACACACACACACACACACACACACACACACACACACACACACACACACACACACACACACACACACACACACACACACACACACACACACACACACACACACACACACACACACACACACACACACACACACACACACACACACACACACACACACACACACACACACACACACACACACACACACACACACACACACACACACACACACACACACACACACACACACACACACACACACACACACACACACACACACACACACACACACACACACACACACACACACACACACACACACACACACACACACACACACACACACACACACACACACACACACACACACACACACACACACACACACACACACACACACACACACACACACACACACACACACACACACACACACACACACACACACACACACACACACACACACACACACACACACACACACACACACACACACACACACACACACACACACACACACACACACACACACACACACACACACACACACACACACACACACACACACACACACACACACACACACACACACACACACACACACACACACACACACACACACACACACACACACACACACACACACACACACACACACACACACACACACACACACACACACACACACACACACACACACACACACACACACACACACACACACACACACACACACACACACACACACACACACACACACACACACACACACACACACACACACACACACACACACACACACACACACACACACACACACACACACACACACACACACACACACACACAGTGTGTGTCAACGGACAGATAAACAAAATGATAATATGAATGAACATATATATATATATATACATATATATGTATATATATATATATATATATATATATATATATATATATATATATATACGCATTTATTTATTAATATGCATGTGTGTGTCAACGGACAGATAAACAAAATTATATTATGAATGAAAATGTTTAGTTGTATCATACATGTCCCCCGCAACATAAATATTCCGCAACAATCTAAAAGAAAATTCATCCAAATTATTTTTTTATAAGTGAAAATTCCTTTAGATCCACTAGGGAGCTCTACCCAGATCACCTACGTCATGAACTTATCGAGTAATGATGCTGAAAAAAAACGTACAAAACAATAAATGCTGTTAAACACGTCCCCCTGGGAAAGCCTCCTCCTCGATCGCAGATGACGAAGCAACATAAATGCTGAGGCAACTAATTACAATTATGATAATAATGCTTTAATAAGGACGATAATGATAATGTCTTAATAGCAATGATAGTTATAGTTATATGATCATAATAGTACCAGTTATAGTGATACTGATAATACTAGTAGTCATGATGACAATAATGATAAACATAGTAACTTCTAAAACAACAGTGGTAATGACAACAATAAAAACATTTGTGATGATATCTATCCCAGTAATATTAATCATACTTGAACAAGCAATATCCACAACATCAATAACAGTAATAGTACCAAAAATATGAATAACTGCCTCACTCCTCTTAC